TTTTGCTTGTGGTTAAACTGTGGGGTCATTAATTCTAAATAACCAGTGATTATTTTAAGTTATGTATGGTTTTGCTTCACCCTAGTTGCCTTTCTATAGCCTGAGGTTGTCTGCAGGCCTAACCCATACTTTATAACCATTGGTACATCTCACAGTGGAAAGCTGGGGCTTTTTCGTTGTCAGCCTTCAAGGCTGTGGAATGACTTGCCTGATAAATGCATGCTGGCAGAGTTTGAATCGTCTTGTAAATCTCCTGTCAAAATGTACATCTGGCTTTTATTTCTTCCTTCCTAGTTGCATTATGTGACCTGGTCAATGTGGTGGCTATATTTCTTCATTTTGATTTCATTGTTTAGACATTTCAAAAAAAAAAAGAGAGAGAGAGAGAGACAAGAAAAAATCTCCTCTATTTGACATTGTTTTTAGTTGTAACTTGTGCTTGGTCCTCATAAATATATAAATTCCTTTGAGCTGCTCTACTCCCATATTTTTCTAATTACCCTTACATCATCGTATTATATTAATATGATTTTAACTTGCTGACCTTTATGCTTTACTGGTCTGTTCCTTTGTCTCTTATCTAATTACAAGGCTTTTTGAAGACCAATTTGTGGACGTTGTATATAAATAAGGTCATTATTTGTTTTTTTTATGGTTACACTTTCAGGATTTCAGTGTAGCATCTATTATGAAGCTTTTTAAGCCATCATGTTAATTTCAACCTGAGCTGAAATTATGTAAATGATATGCTAATGGTAGGCTGCTCGGATGCTGTCATATCTACAATGTTTTACTGCAGTCATGAGCCAAGAAAGCAGCTATTATTTGCGACTGTCAGATGAAGAATACAGAGGCAGGCAAGCAGGCAGAACAGAGACAGATGAATACAAAGGGAGAGACGTACGTCAGTGTGTATACGGCTAGAAGGAAGAGGACGGCTATAAAAATGCTACAAGAGAGGGCACTACAGAGAAAAAAGAAGATTGATTGAAGAGTGGGGAGAGGAGAGGGAGGGTATCAAAGACACACTTTGTGCCATCCATCATGTACTGTTTAAGTGACTTAGGGTGGTTACATATGAGGGTGCAACACAGATTAATCAGTCAAGTCAGAATCGAGTACATATTTGTCGCAGTCGGAATTTGACAACTAAAGAAGTTCATTTAAAGCTCTGAGATTAAAAAAAACATTTCTTGAGTAAAAAACTTTTCTTTCATTCTTTCATTCAGGACATTTTTACAGATTAGCTTGGTTGTTTGCTGTGACTTGTGGTGTATGTGCTGATTTTTTTCAATATTATTGTTGTGATTCCTGGGTTTTGATAGTTAGTTCTTTTCTGTTTACTTTCTTTGTCATTTCTTGTTCTCAGTTATTCTTGACTATTACTTGAAATTTCAATGTTTACTTCAGCCATACATCTTTCCCTGTATCACAAAGTCAGTTCACCATAGTAAATCCAGGTAATGGAAACATATCCTGTGATATGAGCAATGCAAAGTCTCAGATGCAGTGGTGTAAAGCATGGACCTACTATATTAATAAAGTTTAGCCTATTTGAAAGCAGGAAGAAAAACTAGCAAAAATGCTCATTGTGTAAAATAACAGCTGTATCCATTTCACAGCTCCACAACGAGATAATTTGATGTTATTTTTATTATTGATTGTTTTTCCATTAGTCTGTCGTGGTAGCATCCTGCAGACCAGCATGGCTCTCAGTCTGCTGATGGACACTTTCTGTGCTTGCTTGGCCATGGGGTCTCCTGAAGCAGTAGACATCAGAGAGACTGTGGCTTTAGCACTTGTGGAAGCAAAAGCTCAGTTGTGAGAGGACTCCATGGGAGGCCGCAGAAGAGGACTCTCAGCAGGTCTCTATGAAGAAAAGCAGGGCTTTTATGTGTTTATCATGAGTTACTATGGTGATACAGCCAGATAAAAAAGAGCCTTAAAGCTTGGTACAGTTCACTGACTCATTAATATCGCTTTATAATACACCCCTCAGTAATCAGTGTGCATTTAACAACTCTAATTGGACCTCTTGGTGAAATTATTCCCAATAAACACAAAATACTGATTAGTACAAAGACATTGCATCCATGAAACAAAATGCAATAGGCTGTAATAGCATCCAGCTTGCTGACAATGCGAACGCAATACTCTGTATTCTGCCTCTGTAGCCATATAGCTGTTTCTTGATTCTGACTATCTGTGTTTTATAATCCCCCAAGTCTTCTTTTTCACTTCAGTAAAAGTAACTGTTGTTAATTATTTATTAGCTCCAACTCTTAACACGATCAGCTCAGCACTGAGAAAAAGTGCACAGAAACCCCACCACCAATCTAGTGCTTTGTAGACTGTCTCATTGTGGATTCATCTCATGTAAAAAAAAATCAAGCTTAACCCAGCAGTCAGGATCCTGCCAGTGTAGCCATCAACCATTTCCAGTTGTACAAATCCATTCTCTCTTTTTTTGCAGTGGAGTAATTTCAATTAAAGTAAAAGTCGTCCAGCATTTATTAGCTCCAATTCCGACATGATCTGCTGAGCTCAGTTGCAATTGTTTAAAGCAGACAAAGAACTTGAGCATAATAATACTTCTGAAACGCTATTTGGCATTGGGTACTATGCGGTACTATATACTGCAATTAAGCACTTTATTTTAAGGTTTGTTTGAGAAGCCTGACATCAGAATTGATGGATTTCTAAGTCTTACTTCAGCTCGTATTCCCTCTAGACGATTTGGTGACCTTCATTTGCATGTCGAGCAGGGAACAGAATCAGATTTGTTGCTTAATTTCAGCTTTCAGATGATGTAATCACGTATTCAACTCCTCATACCACGAACAGGCTTTTGTTGTCAAAGTCATATTCTCTGTGAGAAGTGCACATATCCCGGGTCCCTCTTGGTCAGCCCCAGTTCCTGTTTCTCAGCATCTCTTGTCTTTTTAATTCTGCCTTTCTTGTCTGCTTTCACATCCTATCGCATCTCCTTTTTCTGACTCTGGCCTTTCTTTTGCTCCTTCTCACTTTATCTTCCTCTGTCTGTCAGCCTTTTATCACTTTCTCCAAGTACATTTCCTCCACTCTTATCTCTGTCTTTGCTTTTCAGTAACTTTAACCCAGCTCACACCTTGGCTTATCACATGACAGCTTTAATACTAAGTTAAAACCTGACTCATATGACAGTAGGCTTTTTAATAGGCTGATCACCCATGTCTGTTTTAATCAGACTCGCTGCCCAACTATAGGAGAGAGGCTTCATTAATCCCATCTATGAAGGACGGAATCATCACGTTGTTCCGGACTGTCTTTCTTCGCTCACATTAGATGCAGGCGCATCAACCTACACTGCTGCATATATCCACACACAAACACACACACCTGTATACTCAGTATGGTTGAATGGACTGAAGCTGATGTTTCATAAGGCAGGTCATGTCAGGTCAGACCGCCTCTGTACTTTATTCCACGTGTTCTTTTTCTCTCTTCAACTCTTCTCTCTTTACTTCGCACTGTATAATCAATCACTTCTTCTTCTTTTATATTTGCTTCAGTGTCCCCAGGCATCTATTAATATTTCTCATGTATTTTCCTTTTTCTCTCTTCTATCAACTGATCGCAGTTTTTTTTTTTTTCATTGTTCCTATTTTCTGCTTACATTCATTTTATGTTGCCTGTCATGGCTCCTTGATCAGCTGAGATTCATATTTTTATTTATTTATATATATATATCTTACCTTTATCTTGCTTTGGATTTATATTAACTTCACTGTTACGATACTACAGCTTTCTTAAATGCCCATTTCCATCTCTAGCCCCCGCTGAGGTTAGGTGGGCACCTGAGTTACTATTTATCTTTGTCTTCATAATCAGAACAGCCTTTTTCTCATGAAGTTGACTGACCAGTCGTAGGTTTGAGGTAACATTGTGTCTTTATGATTTTGTTTGGTTCCTGGTTTGATCCCTCTTTATGTGGAGTTTGCATGTTTTCTCTGTACCTGCGTGTGTTTCCTCCGGGTCCTCTGGACTATGGATGTAAGATGCATAAAGTGCTATGGCATTCATGTAAAATGCTTTGAGTGCTCAGTAACAAGTGCGTAATATTTTCTCCTGAATTCAGTCTGGTTTATTTGGTATTTTCCTAAACTTTCCACTGTAATTTTTAATTCTTGTTAGCCTTTTTCTCCCTACCAGACTTTATGACATTGCTGCATTTCATGGTGCATTTCCAGTCCTGCATGTTACTGGAATAGCGTTAAACCAGTGGCACTGTGTGTCCATGTGGACTAGACCAAAAAAGCAGAGCAGGCACCCATTCATTATTCTTAGACAGGTCAAAACTTTAATTAATGTTCTATATGTTAATTTTCTGTCATTCATTTAAGCACTTTGTAGGTCATGTGCACTTCTTTTTTTTTTACTCTGGCAAACCTCTAACTCCGTCTCCACTCGCTAATTGCAGCTGTTTCAGAATGAGCATTAGCTAAAGGCATTGATCGAACATGCCTGCCCTGCCCCTTCACTTAACTTTAACGCCTTGTCATCCTGTCTGCTTCTGAGCCTTTTGCCTCATCTTCTTAGTGTGTTTTTTTCCTTTTGTGTGTATCCTTGCCTCCCCTTTTATTTCTGCTGTCTTTGGGGATGTCAGAAAATAAAAACTAAATTAAAAAAACAGGCCCTTGGAGGGATGTTGTAGCTTTTTAAACTGTGGTTTCTCTTATCACAGTTTGCCACTGGCTTGTCATGTAGCAGGAAGTAGCTTCCATGTAGGCACTATGTTTAGCAAAAAAAAGCCCTTAAATCCCCAGTGCAACGAGTACCTTCCATCCATGGAGAACAAAGCACTCAGACACACACAGACTAATTCTAGATCCTTACTTTGTATTTTCCAGTTATTTACCTTTGGAAATTACTAGATACAAGTGACAATAGCTTATTGACTTCTGCCACAGTCAATTTGTTGTCTGTTTTCGTCTGTAATTCTCTTATTTTCTGTCTCTCAGCTGTCAGAAGCCAGGGACAAGACACTTGAGGGTGTGAAGCGAAAAGTTGATTACAAAGAGCTAAAGGGCAAAGACCTATCAACGGCAGAACTGGCCAAGAAAATTGAACAGGTACGCGACACTTTTAAAACACTACTTTGTTGCAAACGTTTTCAAAGGGAATACAAAAAAGGTGTGTCTCCGCTCTGTCTCTGCACTGTAGCTTGAGGTGAATCTAGCTGAGCGCGAGAGGCAGTTGCTGGAAAAAGAACTCCTGGTGGACCAGGTGACCCGGCTCTCAAAGCCACTCAGCGAGCAAGCTGACAACTGCCAAGAGGACAGACTCTCACTGGCAAAGAAGGTAGACTCTTGTATATACATAGAGAAGAAGCTCTGCTCATATAGACACACATAGGGTGATACAGAGACAAACACACACACTCCCACACAATACAATATACTCTCAGATACAGAGAAACATATTATTCACCCGTTATCTGCAGCGTGGTCTTTTATCTCTCTCTTTGTCTCCCTCACAAACACACTGACGCATTGTTTGAGGAGCATGTGCAGCCCATGTGAGGAGCGTGCAGAGTGAGCATTTGGGAGTTCACTGAGCATTACAGTTTCTTTACACTCCCACTTGCTCTTCTTTTCCTCTTCGGCTATAAATACCCTCATCAAAAGCTAGTGGAACAAGCTTCATAGCCCATAATCATTTGTAGAAATAAGTCCCAGTAGCACTGAAAGGAATTTAATTTGAAATGAAGAAAATCTTGAGCTCAAATGTCCTCACACGGTAGACAGGCAACTACTCTAGTTGCAGTTTACATCCTTGCTTGAAGACCTTAAGGGGATCTATTAGGCGGAGCACAGAGATTAGTGTCATTCATTCAGCATTCATCCAAATGTGAAATAAGGTCAACGGTCCTGGGTGGTTTTGCAGAACATCATAGTGTCACATTGTAGTTAACCTAAAAGACCATCTCTTCATCATTTGTCATCTCCTCAGACAGTGCTGTTAAATTTTGTTGAAACCAGTCTATTAATTCTTAAGTGAAGGACACGTGATATTTGACCACCAACTTCTCATCAGTTCATCCTCGAGTCAAACTAACTAGATTTAATGAAATTCCCTCCAGGTGTACTGGGATGTTGCGTTCCCAAGAACGTGAGAGTAAAATTCCTTTGCTAAGTAAACGTTAACATGAGAAAATCTTGGGGTGTCATGTATAACTGTATGGCATGCAAGGCAGGACCCAAACGCAGGACTTTGAGTAGCTCCTTTGCTGTGACTACTTAAACATAAGAGCACTAAAAAAGGAAAACTCAGAAACAAGAAACTAGGAACAAAAAACTAGAAATAAACAACTAGACATTTACCACTAAGAGTTAACAAGGGAAATGAGGGAAACATGGAAACACACAGCAAACGGGGACGGCATGGCAATGATCAGAGCAAAACCACTGAAGCAAGGAGCACAAGAGTCCAAAACAAAGACCTAGCAGTTCAGAAGGCAGAAGGTGTGCCCTGCAGCAGAGATGGCCCATTACAGGCCCGCTACCTGGCCAATAGCGCAGACGAAGGAGCTCTGCAGGATGACCTTGTGGTCCAGAAACTTAGAAACACTGGGTCACAGACCCAGTACGATGACATGGGGATTTCTAATTGGTGATGTTTGAAAGTTAAAGAGGAAATTCATGAGGTCTCAGTGACCCTGTTGTTTGACCAACAATGAAAATCAGTTTTAGTTTAAACTGGTTTACTTGGATCTCTGAGAATAGGACAAATGATCTGAAAACATTATCCCAGAGGCAGGACACAGTACACTAGACCTGTACACTACATTACACTCTCTGATTAGCTTGACACTGAACATTTATGAAGAATGATCTACTCTGTGCCTCTGTCTATGTGTTCTCTGCTTCCAGCTGAATGAGCTCCGAACTAACATAATCAACACCAACCACCGTATGATGGCCATTTCTGCAGAACTTTCCATGAAGCAAGCTGCTGCTTTATCTCTACAACAACAGATCAAAGAGAAGGAGCTACAGGTCAGGGGGGGACACATGTAGCCACAACAAAGGGATCCAGAAATCTACACCGAGCTCTTGGATGCGCAACTCCACAGTTGCACATCCAACTGGTTTTCCCATTATTTTTATTTCTACTCACTGATCACGATCGAAGGGAGCACTGGCTCATCGTATCCAGTCTCAAAACAACTCAAGATTTCATAACTAGACCTTACTCATGGGTGACAATGTCTATCTTTTATTAGGAATCTGTGGAATCAACATCTAGCAGTTCAATATTTACAGAATTTATGTATGCTTTAAACTATGGCTTTATAGTATGTTGGTTTATATAATTGCTTGGCTAACAAAAGGTTGACGGTTCAATTCCAACTAAACATTACAAATTTTGGGAGGTATATTATTGCAGGTGCCTGGTTTGAAACTGCCAAATCAAATCAACTGAATCAGACAGAACATAAAAGTTTATTGTCTATAGCCTTATCTTGCCTATGTCCTTAGAATAACCTTACGTCTTTGTAACTGAACCTCATAGATGACCAGGTTGCTCTTCTGAAAAGAATCTATGAGAAAAATATTTAGCAGGAAGAAAATGCCTGAATAGATGGACGTATTTACACATTTGAAATGTGTAAATACACCTGGTGAGCCACTTTAATTATTATTTCATTCCCTTTCAGCAATTATTCATATTTTAGACCAAAGAAGGAGGTTTTCAATCAGGCTAACTGCAAGCTAAGTACTAACAAGTAGCAGCTAGCATTACAGTGTATTCTGTAACTATAGCAACCAAAGAGGCTTATTACATTCATTTTTACACTTCCATTAAGGGTAAGTAATGTGTATGTAGTGGCTCTGACTAACAGTAGCTTGATTATTGGTTTATTTATGAACTGCTGCTGTTGGTCATAATTTGGCTAAATCAGTCTCTACATGTTCACCAGGTAGAGGTTAGTGTGAGTTCAACAAATGTAGAACAAAAAGCTAAAAAAGTGAGAATACTACAGAAAGCATACTCTTTTTTTATAGTAAATATTTGATCACATTATACATAAGGTTGCTGCGATAGCCATCAGGACATTGTGGACTGCTACTTTGAAACCTCAACTTGACCATTTGATCATCAACATCTTGTCTACTCTAATGTATCTATTTTAGTAAAAATGGTAGCGCGGTTTACAAAATGAGCAACATGTCGTATAAAATAGGAATTGAAATTTGAAACGGAGTCCATAAATTATTTAAGAAAGTGTTTATTGAGGTCTTACTAATGAGTGAAGACAGTGTGTACTGAAGATGGAAGGACTCCTTTGAGGAGCTCCTAATTGAGGAAAATGTGAGAGAACGGACAAATTGGAGGAAAGTTTGTGAATCAGGAAATGCAGAGGATTAGTAAGGATGAAATAAGGGCAGCTATGAAGAGGATGAAGAGTCCTGATAACCTACCTGTGGAGGTGAGGAGTGGACTTTCTGCCCAGATTGTTCAACACGATCCTGGAGCGTGAGAGGATGCCTGGGGATGTGTACTGGTACCGCTTTTCAAGAACAAGGGTGATGTGCAGAGGCGTAGTAACTAAAGAGTGTAGTCACTAATGAGCTGCCAGGCAGAAGGAGGACGACTGCAGAGACGATTCATGGGTGTAGTGAAGGAGGACACGCAGAGGGTGGGTGTGACAGAGAAGAATGCTAGAGATAGGGTGAGATATATAGAGATGATCTACCGTGTGGAAGCAGCCGAAGTCGGAAGCCATTTACTGAGATCATAGATCGCTTCAGGGTCATTTTCTTACAAATTTCATGAGAACTGGACTTTTTCTTTTTGGGGGGGGGGGGACTACAAGAGTCACTCCCTGCTGGCAATTAGAATGCAAGTTTAAGGCACTTCTTCACAGGCTTTACTTTTCATACATGCTTTAGTGACTCAGCAATCAGTCCATTATCATAATTAGTATAATTGTTGAGCTTAAGTATGAAAATAATGAGGCACCATCGCGTTATTCAACCAAGAAATGCTGAAAATCAGAAACTGGTCTCAACAGAAACCCCACTGCTGTGTTTCTCAGTAAAAAATAAATAAATAAACAGGTAAAAATGACTGGATTTCCCTCATGCCTTCTATATATTTCAGGAGATTTGTGTTAATAACCTGAAGAATCCCTGCAGTTGTCTGCCTGCAGTGCACCGCAGACACAGCTAGAAGCAGAAAATGCCAAGGCTTAATTTTGCCTGGATTCTGACACTAATACAACCATCTGTTTTTGGGTGCAGCTTAAATTGAATCAGGCCAGGAGAGTGCAGAGTGGACAAAGTGAAAGGAATACAAAGTGAATGTTCCTTCCATTTGTCCTGTGTTTCCAGATGGACAAGAGCCAGCGGCGGCTGGAGCAGGGCCTGTCACCATACCCTGAGAAAGAGGAGGAGTGGAGGAAGATGCTCCAGGACAAGAAGAGGAGACAGAGGGACAAAGAGGAGAAAGAGAGGGTAAAGAAACACACAAGACTCACAAAGATCACTGGTCAGAAATTGATTAGAGCACTGAGGGACAAGAAAAGAAGATAGAGTGGCAAAGAGAAGAGTGCAGCAGGGACACATTGCAGGGGCAGGAGTCGATTAAGACTCTCCAGAGCAAAAAGGCTGTGAGTGAAAGCGTGAGCGAGAGCTACCCACGCACAGACTTGAACTAGAATCTGTAAAAAAACAGGAAATGACAGGCTGAACGGGCGACAAACAAAACTAGCGGATGTCTACACAAAGAAGGAGCACATACACAGATCAGCTCTGTCTGAAACCAGTCCAGCTGCCTGCAGCCATTTGTTTTCTCCCCTTTTTATTATAGCTACTGATCAAAAAGGACACCACAGTAAATTGCAAGCACATAGCCAAAACAAGTAACAGCAAGGAACCTGCAGATGTGGAAATATTAGTGTATCTGAAGAATTTTGGAGGGGTGTCATTGTTAGTTTTGCATTTTAAACTTCTTAAAATGTCTGCAGATATTTCTTCTTGTTTATTTTGTGGCAGTTTCTGATATGTTTTTCGCGGTCAGAGCCATTATTTCTCGCTTTGCGTGCCCTCCTCAGATCACACGCCAGCGGATAAACTTTATGCATGAGAAAATCGCCATCTCTTTGAAGTGTCCGTGAGATTTAGGCACAGTTAATTTGCATGCTGTGGTGTGGTGAAAGTCAAAGAGAGGACTGGAGTGTCGTGAGGATGCGTGTTCACTTGAACTTGATTTTTTTTTTCTCTTTTTTTCTCAGCAGGAGCTCGCCATCGTTACAAATATATCCATCAGCCACAATAGGATCAAATCAATTTTGTCAGCCTCTTAACAGTTTCAGTGACTTCATCCTGGTGCTAGTTTTTAACACAGTATGCAAAAAACTTTTAAGGTCATGTGTCATTAACTCGAGCAGGAGGCTGTTGAATATTAACAGTACAGGCAAACAGCCTGGGTCTGTCCCAGGGAGTTATCTGAGGCTCACTAATAACACATTAACTCTTGTTGTTTAATCTGTACACAGACCCATATATAAAATTGAACTTTTTTGTGCTTTTTTCTGTTTAGCTAATAAGGTCACAGTAACAAGAAAACAGTAAGTAGCTGTGTGGTGATAAACAGTCACAGCATGCACCGTAAATCCTCCCCCCTCACAAAAAAAAGCGAAATAAATCTGTCCAAGTGTCCTTGAGCGAAGCAGCAGACCCCCAAAAGCTCGTGATATGTAAAATGTAAGCAGCTTTAAAGGAAATAGCTCTAAATATATGCACAAGCATTTGCACAATTTGTTGTTTTACCAATCTGCATTTACTCATAGAAGTACTATGGGGTGAACACAGTACTATACCTAAACTAAGCCAACTCTCATTTCTTTATGTTTTGTTGGGAAAATGGGAAAAAGGTGCAGCGATTTATTAAAAAGTGTCTGAACCCTCTTAGGCAGCTTGCTTGTCTTTTCTTTAAGTAGTCTTCAGGAATAGTTCTCCAGGCTTCTTGAAGGACATTCGGGGCTATGTTTAGGTAATGAGGTAATGTTGATGTCTGGGCTCTGCGGATGCCAATGCATGACTGATAGTGTTTTTATGTAGGTATGTATCCAGTGTGTTTCCAATCATTTTCAAAATGGAAAAATGAAACTAGCTAATCAGATGCTCTCCAGATCATATTGCATGGTGAATCACAGTATGACTGTACTGATCTGCTTTCACCTGATTTCACCAAGACTCCCAACGCCACTGGCTGAAATGCAGCCCCAAACCATAACAGAGCCTCCGCTGTGCTTTACAGATGACCTCTCTCCTGCCCTTCTCCAAACACACTGGGGATTTAAACAGGTTTTGGCATAACTTTGAAAGTGTGGAGAACTGTTACTTAAGACTGCTTTAAAAAGAAAAAGTTACAAGAAAAAATGCAAAGAAATGATGATTGGCTCAAGACTGTGGAAGAAAAAATGCTGCTTTGATAAGGGTGTTTGATAAGAAGTAAGGGTGGCATATTTTTATAGGAAGGTAGGTAAATTGGTCTAAATTCCTCACTGCTCTCCACACATCAGTGCTCCAAGATGCAGCTATTCCTTTTTCTTTTTATTATACCTACTGTTATAAATATGATTAAAGGAGAGGTAAAGAAAGTTGTTAATAGCTTGTATATCAAAGTGACTTCCCCTAAATCCATGGTTTGGTTCACACACTGTGTGCCAGGGTGCACAGATTGCCTCATGTCAGCTGTAGTATCTGATTTAAGATGAAATTGAGCAAACCAAAATGACTGTACTTTAGTCAGCACGACCACCTTTATACTCAAACAGGCAGGCCTTGCTTTGTTCTTTTCAGTTACACAACATTCCTTTTGGTTTTCGTCATTTGAGGAAAAGTTCACAGGAACGTGCACTCAGTGATCCAGCGGAGGCTGTCAACCTCATTAATAACCAGAAATGTGGATCGTTTTTTTCTTGATATTTTTTTTGTTTAAAAAATTGAATAAATCATAATATAATGAGTAAAATTAAAAAAAAATTGTAATAATTGCAAGTGCTGCTGTTCTCAGGATTTAATCCAAAATATGAAATTCTGCACACGTCGTGTTTGTTTTCAATCACTGGAGGTATAATATGAAGAAAAACAGGAGGAAAAAAACACAAATTAAACTTTTAATCAGCTTTTTTGTCCCAAGCTCATGCACTCGACTGTTCATCTTTGCTTTTGCATTCATGCTGAGATATAAAAAAAAATGCAGAACTGATTATTCCATTTACTTGATTAAAATTCAGGATAATCTGAAATTGAAGTATTTACTCCAAGGTCAAGCAATCTTACATCAAATATTAAAACTGCTTCTGGTACATTCTTGCGTGTGTGTGTGTGTGCAGCTTGCTGAGAAGGAGTGGAGGCAGTTACCTAATGGCGAGTACACCACAGCCGAAGCACGTCCCAACGCGTACATCCCGCTGAACGCTCAGCTGCCTCTGCCCAAACCCTACGGAGCCCAGGCCCCCTTCAAACCCTCCCAACCAGGGACCAACATGAGACACTTTCGCAAACCTGAGCTCAAATCCATAGAAATATAGAAGACATGTCTGTGGACAAGGACGACATATTGAACCATATGACTGTTCTGTTTTTATTGGCGTACTTCAGGTACACACACACTAAAGGAACATGTGTTTCATTGATTTGTGTTATTTATTTCCACACTCCTTCCTGCTCTCACTAACATGTGCATGTCTGTGTGCTGGCTGCTCTGAGCTTGTTCTTGTGGCCTGCATCTGGTTGTAATTTTGGTTCCCTTACTGGCATTTGATTGTTTACAGTAAAGCTAAAAAGTAAAAGAGAGTGGAAGGGAGGACAAGGAGACTCAGTAATGTATTTCTGTATTCTTTTATCCACCTAGCAAAAGCATCATCACACTTTTACCACCTTTCTCTAGAAGATAAATTCATTTCTCAGGGCCACTGGAATATTTCTACGTATTCTTCACTCTTGTTGTTTCATCCCTCATGCTTGTAATCTCCGAATAAATTGCAATGGGTTTAAGCTCTATGCAAGGCTGGGAGTGTCTCCTTTAATGCCTGAAATGATAAATGTAAATACGGTGAGGAAGCTCAAACACTGAAAGAGCATAGAGAATGACAAAGAGAGGGGAGAATTTAAATGAAGGGGGAAGGCAGCAGAGGAGAGTCAAAGGGATAAGAGAGGGGGATCTAAATTGGGTGTAGAGTTCAGAGTTGGTGACTAGTGATCAAAAACATAGTCAACTGCCTTTGAAACTAAAAAGTTACCAGAAGCTTTTTTCGATCTTTGAGATTAAAGCAGTTCTGGTATTAGCTTGTTTTGCAGATTCTAAGCATGTGACTGCCCTGAAAGGGTCTAAATTGGTTGCGGGTGCCAGACGGATGGTCTGAGTATTTCAGAAACTGCTGATCTTCTGGGATTTACCCACACAAGCCATCTCCAGGGTTTACAGACAGTTGTCCAAAAATGGGCAAAATGCCTTGTTGATGCTGGAGGTCAGAGTAAAAATGGACAGATTGGTGTGCAGAAGAGCATCTTGTAGCAGCAGAAGACCGCACTGGGCGCCACTCCTGTCAGCTAAGAAGAGCTACTCATGGGCTCACCAAAATTGTAAATAAAAGGCTGTTAAAAAAATAGGACACTTGGGATCCTTAGAACAAACTGAGCACTGTTTATTTGCCTCAGCCTACCTGAATACCACTGCTGGAACGCTTCTTCCAGTTGCTCTCTTTAGGGGTCAGCAAAGAGGATCGTCTACATCAGCGATCCCCAACCTTTTTTGTGCCACGGACCGGTTTATGTTCAACAATGTTTTTACGGACCGGCCTTTAAGGTGTCATGGATAAATACAACAAAATAAAACCAGTAACAGAAGCAAAAAAAGATTTATTCATAACACATGGGAAAAGACCCAGGGAAACCAAGTTAACGAAAAACAATTTAAAAAAATAACGATAAAAATCCTGAAAACCATAAATTTCACACCCGAGCCTCAACTCTCGCCGCCCAGTACCAGATGACTCATGGACCAGTCCATGGCCCGGGGGCTGGGGACTGCTGATCTCCCTAGCATCCTCCTGTGTCACACCAACCCTCCGCATGCCCTCCTTCACGACGTCCCATGAATTTTTTTCCTCCTGCCTGGAAGCTCTATCTTCAACATACTTTGCCCAATATATCTACTCTCCCCTCCAAATCATCTCAACCTTGCCTTTCTGGCTTTGTCCTCAAAGCGTTCAATATGAGCTGTCCTTCTGATGCACTCATTTCTAATCTTGTCCACTGTGGTCACTACCTGTAAAAATCTTAGCATCTTCTTACACCTCCAGCTTGTCAGCACCACCCTCTCAAAACTATACATTACAGCAGGTCTCACAACCATCTTGCAGACCTTCCCTTTCGCTTCATCTCCTCTCCCGCTGTCACACCTTTTTCCACCCATTCCCCCTGCCTGCACTCTCTTCTTCAGCTTTCTTTTGGATTCTCCGTTGCTTTTGATGTTTGACACCAGGTATTTCAACTTCCCTGCTTTCACTACTTCTCCTCCTCAAATCTTCACTGTTACACCAGTGTCCCTCTCAGTCACACACGTACTGTATACAGACTTTCATTCCTCATCTCTCCAGTTCATGCCTCCACCTGTCCAGTGTCTTTTCCACCTGTTCCCTACTGTCAATATAAAAGCTTAAAAAAATGCTAAACAAGTGGTTTTGAGGAACTTGAACTCATTTGACAGGAAATGAATGGCATAAACCAGCTTTGCGCAACACTCTGCGTGAGTCAACTTCCGAAGGAGGTGACCTGCTGGTGTGATGTGTGTGTGATCATCCATCGCACGCTGACGCTGAGGGCTGTCAGATTAACTTAGCCCCAAACTGTTAGCTGACTACATAACACTGACTGCATAACAGAGTGCGATAGGGGCAATCAGGTGAGGAGTGATCACATTTAAAAGAGGAAATGCCCACAGGAGAAAGGACTGAAGGTGAAGCAGCAAAAGTGATGAAGCTGAAAGCTGCTAATAAAACATTGTGGGTTATGTAACGAAAAAGGGGGGGAAAAAGCTTGATGGGTGTGTTCCTGATTAAATGTGAGTCAGCGCGTGTGATGACTGATGCTGAGATTATTTCCTGACTTTACTGGAGGTCTGCTGAGCCTGTCCAAAACACTCAGATATTCTCGAGAATCAGAGCTCACTTCCACAGAGCCTTTCACGCTACAAATTATGTCACTGAAAGCAGACGTCTTTTCCTAATTTATCCCCGCGCTCCAAAAGTGCTAAGTTCATCCTGTCATCAAAATTCATTGGGAAGCAGTGCGCAGATCGCCTACCTCAAAGCTTGTGTCTCTGCCATGTTCTTTAAAAGTGAGGCAAAAAAAGACACCATTTAAAAAAGACAAAACATTTATTTACATTTCGGTGTAAACATGAGCGATTGAGAGATCCCTTTTTCCAGAGCACTGGTTTTGCAATCAAAGCACAACATGTAAATAATCTGTGGAATTCAGTGCTGGATGATGCGCAGGGTGCAAACATCCAGGCACTGAAAGGATTAGGAACATTTACAGCACGATTTTTCAAAGCACGCGTCTGAACATGTGTGTGGAGGCAGACTCTTACTGCCTGTTATGGAGTGATTTTGTGTAAAGGTGCCTATGTTCTCTTTATTTTGGTTTGGTAACAGGAGCTATTAAGTGTTACAAACAATGAACATATAGATATGTAGTTGTGGTGTCAGAGAGACAAATCATTCTGCATAAATCAGCATTAAAGGGGACCTATTATGCTAATTTCCAGCCTCATATTTTATATTATATTCTTGAATTTGGGATGAGTCACAGTTCTGAACAATAATAATTCCTTATAAGAAGCTCTTTCGATTGGCTGCTCCATGTACACAAAAGGTTTGAACAGCAGATGGTTGGGGCTAAACCTATGTTCGCAAACTACTCTGATGGCTGAGTTCTAGTGATCTTTAATAATGTATACTTTGTTGATCCCCGTGGGGAAATTCCTTTCTGCATTTAACCCATTCGCTCAGTGAAGCAATGGGCAGCCATTGGGCGCCCGGGGAGCAGTGTGTAGGGACGGTAACTTGCTCAGGGGCCACCACTCTACCTACTGAGCTATCCCTGCCCCACAGGGCAGAAAGCGGGAAGTCCTGGTGTGGGGCCAGAGGCTCTCATAAAGGGGATCAGTGGGGGCCCAGTCTCTTTGAAGTGATTGGGCTGTGCATGGTAATAGTGGAGCTTACATGATGGTGACAGCAGAGGGCGCTTCCCATAGGGAGGATACTGAATGATGCTTGAAGGAGAACTGCATTTATACAAAGAATAGCCAATCACAGTGCTTAAAAAGTTCTGTTAATTTTCTTTTGTAAGTTGTATTTGAAATTCTGAATTTGAACTTGGAAACTGTCTGAGCTTTTGGCGCTTACAGAGAACTTGCACATATGCTGACTTAATCATTCGAAACTCCAGCCATGTTTGATGTGAGCATCCACCACTGTAACAGCACATGCATGACAGACAATAAGGGAAAGCATAATAGGTCCACTTTAAAACCAGAGCAACTGACCACATCAAACCACAACCATCAAAGCTTTTGTCAGCATATAATCAAGTTGATGGGGTGCAGCAGCATTACAGGAAGCCCGGCAAGTTAAACAAGTGATTTATAATTACCATTCACAGCATTTGACATCAATGTTCATAAATTCTATGAAAGCAAGAAGAGAAGCTGAGGAGACGATGCAAATAACTGCCTGCAGTTTTCGATTTCAAAAAAAAAAAAGTTTCCCAAAGTTTAATTAAACCGTAAGTGAAGGTGTGCCCATGTTGGTTACTGTATTCTAATTTCTGCTGTTGCCAACAATTTGTTTGGTTTGCGTAAAGCTGCAGCTGTTCCTCGCACATCGCAACCCATCTCAGCTCTTTCCTGAAAAGCAGGTGGGAAAACTGGGGTGATGACTCTGCCTCCTATTCTGAGCATCTCCATCCATCTACCCCTCCGTCCCACCCTAATTCATCATCGCACAGTGAGAACTTGTTTATGTCTACGCCTCTGCCTTTCAATCCCGCCGCTCATTTTTCATCTCTCGCCCTCCCTCCTTCCATCATCCATCCATCCGTTACTTGTCCTCGAGGCCCCTTCGATGATGACTGGTCTCTCAAACACATTTTCCTCCCCATCTCTTTCCCTCTCAATCCATCCGCCCCGCGTCCCTCTCCACCTCTGCGCGTTTATCATTTTCTCTCGAAGCCCAGCAGAATTAGCGTCTGTTTCAGAGCCGTCTCCTCCACAAACCTGGCGTCCACGTTCTCCTGCTCCTCGAAGGGGTTCGGACCTGCTCGGAGTCAGAAAGAGACAGATTCTTATAGAAAACAGAACAGCAGACTTTGTGGTACAGAGTTGCTTTCTGGCCAGGCATGCACGCACACATGCACACACATTCTGTCTTAATCCTCGAAAGGCCTCTATCTAAACACAAAAGCGCGCACACATACACACACACACACAATACCTCCTTCCTCTATATCAGAGAGTATTTTTGCCAGGTAGGTAAGAGGCACAAACTCAGGTCTGAAGCCAGGCTTGTCTGTGCCCATGAATGCAAGTCCCTAAGGAGGAAGGAAAATAAAAAGCACAACTTCAGGGTTTTTTTTATGCCTTATTTTTGAGAAAACAGTCAGACAAATCTGCAGCAAATCCAGAAACTGAGTCACCTTAGCTCTTCTCTAAGATAAACTTGGCTGCAGTTTAACTTTTAAGGCACCAACAGACTATCGCTGCACCAAATGTCACAGGCTCTCCACGCCTTCTCTGTGAGCCAATTAGCTGACTGAAACTTGGCGATAGCATCACATCCGACTAAATCAGTGGGTGACTGCTTTACCACGTTCAGTAATGATGTCTTTTTTTTATGTCTGTGCAGAAACAAATAAACCAAAAAAAAAACCTTTCTGGTAGTACTTTATTTTTTAAAAAATGAGAAAAAGCATATTTTTCTGTATAAT